CAGACACCCTGATCAGAACCAATACACAGACTCTGGATCAGGACCTGCAGACACCCTGATCAGAACCAATACACAGACTCTGGATCAGAACCTGCAGACACCCTGATCAGAACCAATACACAGACTCTGGATCAGAACCTGCAGACACCCTGATCAGAACCAATACACAGACTCTGGATCAGAACCTGCAGACACCCTGATCAGAACCAATACACAGACTCTGGATCAGACCTGCAGACACCCTGATCAGAACCAATACACAGACTCTGGATCAGGACCTGCAGACACCCTGATCAGAACCAATAAACAGACTCTGGATCAGACCTGCAGACACCCTGATCAGAACCAATACAGACTCTGGATCAGGACCTGCAGACACCCTGATCAGAACCAATAAACACACTCTGGATCAGAACCTGCAGACACCCCTGATCAGAACCAATACACAGACTCTGGATCAGGACCTGCAGACACCCTGATCAGAACCAATACACAGACTCTGGATCAGGACACCCTGATCAGAACCAATAAACAGACTCTGGATCAGGACCTGCAGACACCCTGATCAGAACCAATACAGACTCTGGATCAGACCTGCAGACACCCTGATCAGAACCAATACACAGACTCTGGATCAGGACCTGCAGACACCCTGATCAGAACCAATACACAGACTCTGGATCAGACACCCTGATCAGAACCAATACACAGACTCTGGATCAGGACCTGCAGACACCCTGATCAGAACCAATACACAGACTCTGGATCAGGACCTGCAGACACCCTGATCAGAACCAATAACAGACTCTGGATCAGACACCCTGATCAGAACCAATACACAGACTCTGGATCAGGACCTGCAGACACCCTGATCAGAACCAATACACAGACTCTGGATCAGAACCTGCAGACACCCTGATCAGAACCAATACACAGACTCTGGATCAGGACCTGCAGACACCCTGATCAGAACCAATACACAGACTCTGGATCAGAACCTGCAGACACCCTGATCAGAACCAATAACAGACTCTGGATCAGGACCTGCAGACACCCTGATCAGAACCAATACACAGACTCTGGATCAGGACCTGCAGACACCCTGATCAGAACCAATACACAGACTCTGGATCAGGACCTGCAGACACCCTGATCAGAACCAATACACAGACTCTGGATCAGACCTGCAGACACCCTGATCAGAACCAATACACAGACTCTGGATCAGAACCTGCAGACACCCTGATCAGAACCAATAAACAGACTCTGGATCAGACCTGCAGACACCCTGATCAGAACCAATACACAGACTCTGGATCAGGACCTGCAGACACCCTGATCAGAACCAATACACAGACTCTGGATCAGGACCTGCAGACACCCTGATCAGAACCAATACACAGACTCTGGATCAGACACCCTGATCAGAACCAATACACAGACTCTGGATCAGGACCTGCAGACACCCTGATCAGAACCAATACACAGACTCTGGATCAGGACCTGCAGACACCCTGATCAGAACCAATAACAGACTCTGGATCAGGACCTGCAGACACCCTGATCAGAACCAATAACAGACTCTGGATCAGACCTGATGTTTTGAGACCGTGTGAATGACTCTGTCTCTGCGGACACATGATGCAGCCATGCGGGCAGCGTGCAGCCGCAGCCCCGCCACCACCTCCACCTGCTGCGGCCTACTCCACCCCGGAGCTGCTTCTTCAGCGCAAACACGAAACAAACAGACGTTATTCTACCAGAACACCGGTCCGATCCCTGCCACATGTGTCCGTTTGTTTCGTTAGCTTCGTGCTAACAGCTAGCCTGTATGCTCCGGGACCGCGGTGTTTCCCAGCCTCTCTCGCCGGGCCCTACTCACTCCTGCCGGGTCTGCTAAGCAAGCGCAGGGCGGGACGAGCTCCGGGGCCTGGCCGCCAGCACCGAGGCTCGGGGCGGACAGCGACGGGGAACAAAGCGGCACACTGGCCCGGGTTAATATTTGAAACATGCGGCAGACTTGCCGCGCGAAGCAGAAACTCACGCTCTGCCGCCAAAGCTACCGTAGGCCCGGTCCCGGTCGTCGTAGCTGTCGTAGTCCGCCATTACTGCTGCTGTGTGTCGGAGGAGGAGGTCCTACACGTCACACACTGACTGAGTTTAGCTGGCCACAGAGCGCCTGACCGGGTTTACTGACACTTTGGGAAAAGGAAACTTTTATTTGAAAGCTTTTTTTAGATACAGAAGTGCAGGAAGATAAACCAGGTAACATGTATCTCAGGGACAGATGTAAATTAGTTTTTTTTTTTAGCTAACTCTGGCCAAACTGTTGTGTTGTGCATGTAAAAAAAAACAAAAAACTATGATGATTAAGATGATTATCATCAAAACATTTTAAAAATGTATACAGGATAAATAATTGCTATTTGTGAAATAAATTATAAAACATTTTATTTATTAAGCACTTTACATTTAACACATTTTTTATTGTGCTACAAGCAAAAATTGGAGCATAAAAACATTTTGAAGTAAACAAATAAGAGCAGGCAGAGTTGAAAACAACTACAGAAAAAACATCTGGGGTGGTGATGATCCAGAAAACATCCTTTTAAAGATAAGGCTCCTTAAATTATTGAATCTAAGCATTATAGATACATATTATATGGTTATCAATTGCAATTCTTATTTTCAATCGCTGCTCTTACACAAAATATTGTTCAGAAACTCGCATGTTGAAATGGAGACCTTGAATTATTATGTGAGAGAAGGGGAAGAATCCTAACCATCCATGGTTCAATCTCCTCAGAGAGGAATTCTGAGTTTGGGGACGGTGTATTTTATGTCTTAATTTTTACACTAGTAAATCAAAAACCTGAGCTTCATTCACTGTTTATTAATTGTAAATAACGACACATTTTAATGGGATATTGTGAGAAACAAATTTGAGAATTGTTTTAATTTAAAGTTTCACGTTTTAGTAAAAAAACCAGATAAATCGATTTGAAAAGGTCACAATGAAAATGCAGTGCCAACTACTTTATAATGTTGCAGAAGACAAAGAGACATACTTCAGTAAGTCCATCCTGCAGTGAAGAGCATTTTTCGTATTTCTCCACCATAAACGACTGTCAGATAAAAAGAAAGCAAAGAAAACACAAACACCTGACTCCTGAACAACTTTTATTTGCATCTTATATTAATCCTTCTCCAGAGAAACATTGATCTATTAAATTATCAACAAATATTTGCTACATTTCTGTTAAAATAAATACAGCAACAGATCTATCAAAAAATATATAAATATGCTCAAAGATGTATTCTTCTTTCTCCTCTATGTGTTTTGCCTTAAGGACTGAAAACTTCAAATCAGTGGTTTAAGTTTAGTCTGACTGCTCTTATCCACCGGTGCCTAAACTAATTTATCTACAGACTGAGCTGAACTTTTCAAAACCAAACAAGGGTCAACAAGAAGGGGCGCCAGAAAGCCTAGCAGTTATGCCATGGAGGCTATAGTGCTCATTGCAGCAGTCCTGGGTTCAAATCATGTCATCATCCACTTCCTGTGTCTCTACAGCTGTTCTATCCAATAAAGGTAAAAAGACAGCAAAAAAATATATAAGTTAAAAAAAAAAAAAAAATCAACAACGAGCTACGTTAACAAGACAAACATTCAAACACGTTTCTTACATGTTGCCCTACAATAATTTTACACAAACAACAAAAATATTAGGAACACATTTCAATTGAAGTTTTTAAATCTGATATAGAAATGAAACATCTGGGGTTCTTTTACTCTGCTCACTTGTTGGTCTTGAAGACATCTAGGTCCTCTGTGAGGCCTTTCATGTGGTCCATGTTCAGGTCTGACAGACCGCAGAGTTCCTGTTTTAGAACTCTTGAAAACCACTTTCTAAATCTGTTGAATGTTTTGTATTGTCCTGCAAGTCATATACACAACAGTAAGTCCAGAACCCAGGGCCTACGCCTTCCTAGTTCTTGTAAAAAACTCTTGTAGCTGATCAAGGCATCTTGGGGATTTTCATTTCTCTTACAGCATTCTGTGGGATCTTGTTAGTATTGTGTAGATCTAGTGGAGTGTTGAAGGACAGGACTTCTCTTGCAGAGCTTTGGTTTGATGTGTGGAGGTTAAACTCATCCACTGTAGCTATTCCTCTGGTCAAAAAGAAATCTTTTGCACAGATCTTGCAGAGAACTCACAGACATCGTGGAGGTCTTTTAGGACTACAACAGAAGCTCTTGTAGGACGAAGGGATCCTGACAATCTCTTGTAGATCTTAAACAGGCTCTCAGGTAAAGCCTTGTGGATGCTCAAGTCCAGATCTACAGAGACATGTAAGGTTTTACAGCTCATGGATCTTTTAAAGGTCTGGCAGAGTTCCTTGGAGATCTTGCTATATAACATATTCCATCGGCATGGATATGGTCTATTGAAGATCTTGTGGAGATGGTTTGAATATCTCACAGATGATATACAGTTCTAGTAAAAGCCAACTAAATCTTTGAGGCATTTCTTTGATCTTGTAGACCAATCACAGAATTCTTAAGGGAAATGATAGAACTCTAAAAAACTGGTAGATCTTAAAAACAATCATAGATATTGTAGACCTGTTGTAGTGTGTGTGGAGGTTTGACAGAGACAGTGCAGATCTTGTATAAATCCAGTAGAGGTTATACAGCTTTTTTATCTGACATGATTTGTGGCTCTCTATCAGTGATCTTGTAGGATTTGGGGTTTAAAAGATCCCCTGAAGCTGTTGGAATGGTTCAGAAGTCCTGTAGATATCGAGAGTCTAAGCAGAGGTCTGACAGATCCTTGAAATATGTAACAGAAGTCGAGTTTTTCCTGTAAGTCCAGAAATAGTTGTGCAGATCTTGATCTTGCCACATTCTTGTAGGGCCTGTGCTGAATGTAGTTCTCAATCTTGTAGATCTGTCAGAGGTTGATCAGGGTCTATCTCAGTCCAGCAGATGTGGATGTTGAGGTTTTTGGAGGACATGTAGTGATTTCTTTTCAGCAGCTTCCGTGTGTATCGGGTTCTTCAGGGATTCCCTTCAGGTTTGGGGGAGGGGAGTCGCTCTGTGGCGGTGAGGCTCGTGGTGCTCGCTGTCTCAGATCCTTTGACTGGACATCCGTCTCATTAGGAATCATGGATTTCCCCAAAGCCTGGAGGCACAGGAACAAACCACAATATAATTGAGTGTATCTGCTTAAAGGCAATAACGCAAACCAGAACAAACTGGAATAAAAATAACAAACTTTGTTTGACCTAACCATTAACGGGCCAAATGCAACGAAATTTCGTTCTTATCTGCACTGTAAAGTACAAGTTTGAATGACAATAAAGAAAGTCTAAGTCTAAGTCTAAGTTGAACGTTTTACCTGATTTTCAGCCAGCGCCTCCTTAGCCATGTAGTGCTCCCTCTTTATCTTCACCTCCACCTCCTCTGGGATGTCGGGGACCGTCAGGTCGATCAGACGGCCGATGAAGAAGACCACATGCTGAAGAAGAGAGAGTGGAAGAGCACCAATCAGGTCACAAGAGGAACAAGCTGGATCCAAACATGTCTCTTATCAACTGATTCACACTTCGTAGGCTGCCAAGAAACACAAAGATTTCCAGCTTGTAAGTGAAGACTGATTGATCAGACACATGGGAAAAATGTTATTCCCGGTAGAACCACAATAATGAATTTCTACAATTCTGAATGGATCCAAAACATCCAGACAGGATCTTAGTATACTAATGGAGCAGGAGGTGTTGGTCTTGGTGCTGCTATCATTAGCTAGCTCTCAGAGTTGGTAATATATGGCTGTGTCTCTCATACTAACATACTGCCAGTACTGTGTATGGACGATTGTTAGAGCCCACTTTGGGTTCTACAAGAGGAAGTTTGAGCTGACGTATTCAGTATGCAGTGTCTGTAAAATGAAAGTGAAGAACTTCAGGAAGGATTAAATGGCCCCAGCTAACATCATACACCCCCCGACATGAGTTCAAATAAGTGGAACAAACTACTGCTGACCAACTGCTGACGGCATCACTTTGCAGATCTACAGCCAACTCTGAAGAGACAATCAAATGAAGAAGATCGATCTGTTTCATTTCAAACACCGGCCTCAAACAGCGTCCTTTTCAGACTATAAGCTAGTTTCTGAAAAATACTGTGTTGAGCCCAAAAATATGATTCATATGAAAGTATTTTAAAATGTCCAATGTTCCTCGGTGTATTTACATCATTGCAAAAAGCTGATAGAAAACATTACAAATATAGCAGTTATAGCAACAAGCAGTTGAGGCTGGAACAGGAGGCGGCTGCTGTGCATTCTGGGAGTTGTTGTCTTTCATCCAGGAGCCAAAAAGACACTTTCTCCCTTTTCTCGGTCAAGAAGGCACCAACTTCAAAATGTATTTCACATTTCTACTACATATATGACCCAATGTCAATACAGATTCATGTTTTAAGTGAAGGATCCCTTTAAGCATCCCAGTCGACAGAGGAAGCTGGTTTTGTCCTCCAGTATTTGAACTTAAGCGAATTTGCAAATACCAATATTTTGCTTTGGGTCATTTGTTCCAAAATCTGCACAAACTTATCGATTTGTCTAATGGAGTCACAATGCTGTGTTGGTCTGAACGCAGACTGAATGAACCTCCATGTGGGAGACACTGACCTCAAACACGATGACAAAGGTGAGTCTGATGGCGAGGAGGTGATAGTACTCAGGGAGGTGTTCTCCTTCATGATCCCTGAAACCTAAATACCTGCAAGCCAAAACAAAGTTACAGCCTCTGCATCATGTGTGTTTCCTGATCGTTGATCTGCGTGCTGTGGCCGACCTGCAGGGCATGTGCTGCTGGCTGTAGTTGCTCGGTGATGTTGCCAAGGTAAAGTTGATGTAGCCGGTCAGAGTGCTGTCCTTGATGTAGCGATAGTACAGACGAGGCACGAAGGACGAGGTGAACGCTATGAGGAACGCCTAAAGACACAAGGTCAAAGGTTAGATTATAGTGACGATGTCTAATCCACATACAGGCGAGACGCTGACATGTCTTACATTGCTTAGAACTGCGATGTGTGCGATGCAATGCAGGATGGAAAACCAGATGCCTATGTCCTGAGCTCGCTCCGCCACTGGGCGGCGATATTCAGTCACAAACTTCTGAGCGTCCAAACGGATCTCCACCCAGTTATTGATCAGAGCAAAGAGCGGAGCGAGAGGACACGCCGCCACAAAGATGGTGATAAAACCAAACTGTAGCACTGAGGGAAAACAACGATAAATAAACATTACACCGCCTTCAGTCTAACTCCCTGTCAGCCAATCAGAACACAGAATGTGTGTCACCTCTGTATTCAATCCAACAGCACAAGGCTTACCCATCTCCAAGTATTCACTGAAGAGCCCCTCACAGACCAGCAGCTGGTAGTCTGCCTCCCAGGGAGAAACCTCCTCCGGCTCTTCCCCTTTCGCTTCCCCCGACTCCTCCTTCATCTCTTTTGGACGGCGACGAAGCTTCTTCTTCTGCCACCACGTCCTCAACTTCCTGCCATGTGATAAGCCACCAGTCGTACTTTCAGTTTGAGAGAACGTCTTAAACATTCATCGTTAAACAGATCACGGACGCTTGTGAGACAAAGATGAAACTTTTCTATATTTTGTACTTTGTATTGAAAACACCTGAATCTCTGTGTCCTGATCTCAACATCTCATTTTAAACAACTTATTTTTAAGTTATTTAATTACTGTCTGTGTGTGTGTGTGTGTGTGTGTGTGTGTGTGTGTGTGTGTGTGTGTTTACGGGTAGATGAACTCCTGGATGTTGTTGATCAGCTGTTTTCCCACCATGATGACGAGCAGCTCCTGAGCCAGTTCAATCAGACATCCACCCGCTCCGCACTTTAAACAAACACAAACAAAGAGCTCTAATGGTCTTTTCTCTTCTGATTGGATGAGCTTTACTCACAGAATCAGAAGGCAATGAGGTTCAGAGAGCTTCACACAAGACATCAAGACATCAAGACAAAAGCAACACATCAGAAAACAAACTAAAGACATTCTAATAAAATGTCCAATAAAACCCAGAAAGAAGATCAAAAAGAAGATAAACCAGAGGAATAAGAAAGATCAAATACAGGATCAGAGTGGATTTAGAACAAGAAACTTCACACACATGTTTTGAGGAGCTCTGAGACTTATTTACACTGAAGAAGAGGAGGAGGATATGTGACCTTTAAGATTTATTTTAGGCTTTTACTCCTTTATTTGACAGGACAGTGGGTAGAGTAGGAAGTCAGGGAGTGAGGATTAACATGGAGCCCTAGTCAGACTTAAACCGAGCCGCCTGCTTGTAGGACTTTAGTCGTCTTACACATAATGCAACCTAACTGCTCAGCCATCTTTTCTTTCCACTGTTCCCTCTGGGTGAAGATATTATCTAACATACTTTCATTCTCATCACCTCCATCACCACCACAGAGGGACTGACTCACGTCTTCGTTACGAACTCCAAACAGAGTGTTGTAGTGTCCAGGGTAACCAACGAACCTGAACACAAACAATCAAACAGCATATTTAGATCATCATTATGTGTCACACAGTCAGTGAATGTTTTTGCTGTTTTTCATGGCAGCATCATTCCATCCAAGTATGATCCTGCATGCACGATTCTTCATTAAATCCACTGAAGACGTTAGAAATCTATGAAATCTACAAGTAATGGTTTATTAAAGTTGATAATAAATCCCCTCTGTTTGACTTGGGTAAGGTGTTTTTTAGAGTTTTATTGGGTTAATTTGTGAATTGTTGTTAGCCCCATAGGGCCGCCTTATGGTGGGGCGTAATAGTACACGAAGACACAGGGAGGTGAGCGTGTATTAACACAGCGTGCTGGATACATGAAGAATGGGCGAGCGAGAGAGAGAGAGAGAGACTGTGTTAGTTCTCAGCATGAGCTAAGGCCCACAGTAGCCTATGCTTAACTGGATAACAGGACTTTAGTGCACCTGTAACACCGTCAGTTTAAATCTAAAGGTGGTGTAATGGTGGGACAACGTTGTTGAGATGTGAAGCTTCTGCTGTCTCATTATACATCGTGTCTCTCACACTTTCACAACACACCAACATGCGAAATAAAATCTCACACCAGGACACCAATATTACGCCATTGCAGACTCACTTTAAAAGAAGGTGTAGCTTCTTTACGGTGATGTTAAACTTGAAGCTACAGGTAGGTTACAAAACTGGCTGGTTGTTGTCATCATCAGCCTGCAGGAGGCGCTATATCTTACTGCTTTTAAATGTTTCCCCTCACTTTGATCACATTCACCAATTATATACAAAGAAAGACGGGACTAAAAAAGGGAAAGAATTAAAATGAAGTGGGGAAGCTGAAAACAGAAGAACATTGATTTTGGGATTAGCCAATGAAAGCATACCTCTTTAAATGAACCAGGCAGTGCTTACCTGCCTTTGAAGAATGCGATGTACACCGGAGACGAGTAGAAGTTAACAAACTGGAAGATGAAAACTTTGAGAATGAACATGTCTTCGTATTTAGTCTGAGTCCGATGCATCTCTGAAAGATATAAAGAGAAAACACAGAATAATCAGGCAGAAACGCCTCATACCTGTTTTCGAACCTGTTTGAGTTCCTGCCCCATGAAGATCAGAACCTTACACTCTAAACTTTCTAAACACCCAGTTGTTTTATTTTTAAACACAGGATGAATATATTAAATAACTAAAAAGAGACTAAATTATCATTTTGTAAAAAGTCTGGGGATAAGGAGGGTGAAGACAAAGGTGTGACTCACCCCAGCGGGTGAGGGTGTGGGCCAGTGAAGTGTAAACTCTGGACAACATGAGGATGACCAACAGGTTCAACACAGATCCTGAAAGACTGGCTATCCTCGCAGCCTGAACACACACACACACACACACACAGAGTCAATAAGTTGTGGAGTCCCCCAGGGAAGCGTCCTGAAGCCTTTTATTTTTTGTCCATTAAACCTCATGTAGCCTTAAAGAAAAACTTCAGAGATGTGCTGTACTCACAGACAAACTGACAAATTTGTTGCCAGACCTGTAGATGATGATTCTGAGGATGCTTCGATACAGAATGATGGCGATGAGGAACATCATCACCACAATCATCTGCACATAGGAAGTTCAACTTAGGCTTACCATTCACTGACATTTAAGTCAAACACTGAAGTACTAAACACACACTGGGTTTTTTGAGCGATCAGATTTTCTCTTAAAAAACTATTTTTTTAATCAGTCCTGAATTAGTCTCACATGTGGGCCGATACATTAACTGATATTATTTAATGAATTTAAACAAATACACAGACTAACTAATGATTACATTTTTACAGCTGACCTGTTTTAAAAAGATCTCAAGTTCGATGAGTCTATGCAAGAGACTCACCATGATAAGGATGGCCATGCAGCCAGTCAGAGTTCTGCTGAATCGTTTGTTCTCAGGAAAGTAAGGTTCCTCTGCTCCTGTCACTGGGTTCCTCGTGGTCATCGGCGCCATTGCTGTGAACTCTGGACGAGGTCGCTCCTGTGATCATAGGGGACGCCATCCATGATGTTTCATGATCTATCAACCTGACTTGTCCTCTTGTACAGTGATTATCAAACATTCATTATGTTTTACCTCGATGTCCTCAAACTGGGAACAATCCCAGCGGTGGGCCAGAGTTGAACACGTTCTCTTCCAGTACTCGAGGAAGGTGACGGCCCACAGCGACATGAAGACGCTGAGAAACACTGTTCCTGCATTGTCAAACAACAGACCTACCTACACAGAGAGACAGACAGAGAGAGGACAGCGTTTAGAGAAAAGATTTCAGGAATATCACTGGGAAGATTCATAAGGCCCAAACTGTGCTCAGACACAAGTATCGCAAACTTTCAGGTAACATTACTCATGTAAGTCCCACCTTTGGGATCATTTGTAAGAAAAACAAGAGTTGAGATAAAAGTTGAAACCCCACCCCAATCCCACTGACCAATCCCTAAGTGAGGTGGGTGTGATGTCAGATTTTCTTGGTGGACAGACAGGTACCTTGTAGGTGACGCAGATGCTTGAGTAATTCCAGTAGGAGCAGATGTTACAGAGAGGACACATGACTAAGTTGTTGCTGCTGTCACACACCTCCCTCCTAAACACATACACATACAACAACAATACACACACACACACACACACACACACACACACACACACACACACACAGAGTTAATATCTGTAAAAACCGTGTGTAGGTAAATCTGAGTGTCGTCAGCATATTAACAGAGAGAAACAAATGTTGTGATACTTTTTGAAAACCTCAGCTCTATTTTTGACCTCACTAAACTTCTGTTATAAATCATGTGACTTTAAGGGTAGTTCTGGTATTTGGAAATTTAGTTTTTTTGCAGCTTTGGCTCAGTGGTAGAGTCGGTCATCTCTCAACAGGACGATAGGGGGTTCGATCCCCAGCTCCTGCAGCCACATGTACGATGCATCCTTGGGCAAGACACTAAACCCCAAGTTGCTCCTACCGCTTCAGTTGTTTACATCCAGGCAGTAGAGCCAGGTGAAGGCTCAATGTCCCGGGCTACAGCCAGTCAGCAGGTCGCTGTGTTACAGTTAGAACATGACATTTGTCGAGCACTGTGGGCCAAGCCAACATTAGCCAGGCTAAGTGTGTAGCTTGTTTGTTGTGCCAATGTTTGAAAATATATTGGTAAAGTCAGACAGAGTTTTCACTTACGCTGGAACATCAGTGGCCATGAGCCAAAAGCCAACAAAGAAGATCAAAGTTCCAACGACGGACGCCGGCACCAGCCAGCCAGTGTAGAAACCTGCAGTCACACACCATCACTGCTGTTACCAAAATAACCCGCAGGGTGAGTAGTTATTAGATAATTATACTGCTGTAGTTACCGAGCCAGGCAAAGTAGAGCGCTATCTTCTCTCCAAAGTACGCCCTGATGTGATCCAGAGGTTGGTAGCGTTTCCAGCAGCACCATTTGGCCCAGTATGTGTACAGGGTCTGTCTCAGACTTAGAGACTGGGGGGGCACAGTGGGGTCAGGTACCTTGAAATCACCCTGCAAATACAGCATGAAAGTAGAACCAAGAGAAATATGAATTCTTCCAGCTGATGACCTCTCTGTTATGTCTTAAATCAAACGTGTGTTTGTAGTCTGAATAAAGATGGAAACAAGGGTCAGAAGGGTCTCAGTGGTGTCAGGGGTTAGAGGGATGTTAGGGGCGGGGCTCACCTCATGCAGCGGGTATGCAGCGGTGAAGACCTGCTCGTTCAGCAGGCGGTCGATTCCCACTTCCCCCTGTTTCACCAAACCGTACGGAGTCCTGGCCAAGATCTCGTAGAGCTGCAGGCACAAGAAACGATCACTGCAGGGACTCAAGATTGACTTTATGAAATACAAACGATGCATTTTCATGTAGTTCCATTACAGAACATGTAACTGAATTGTAGCTTTAACTATTTTAAATTTGTTGTCCCTAGTTCAGACCTTACATTTACAGATGAATACAGTACAGATGTTAACATACAATAAGTCTGTAGTTCCCAACCTATTTTGGCTTGTGACCCCACAAAGCTCTGAGGACCCCAGACATCCAAAACACACACAGCTTAGTGCTGGAATCATGTTATCCTTTTTCTACTGTGTTGCAGGTACACTTTAATGTTAGACCACATTAAGGCTGTTTACAGTAAAATATTGTGGGGATGAGCTCTGTGCACAAAGACGATGTGCTCAGCAAGGTGAGAGTGTATTAATGAGGCTGGAGGTTAATGCCGGACGCATGAAGCATGGGCGAGAGACAGAGACAGAGAGAGAGAGAGAGAGAGAGAGAGAGAGAGAGAGAGAGAGAGAGCGAGAGAGAGAGTTAGAGAGAGAGAGAGAGAGACAGAGAGAGTGTGCTAGTTGTTAGCATGAGCTAAGGCCCACAGTAGCCTTTGCTAAACTGGATAACGTCTAGTAGCTTAATTCAGGCTGATTGCTGCAATATATTTTGGATTGTACCTGGGCCTGTGACTTTATCGATCAATTATTAGAAGTTTCATCTGGACCCCAAGATGACCAGTAACACAAACTGGTAGTTTGAAATGAAGCTACAAAATGTATTCGTACAAATATTTCATGAGACAGGTGCGTAGGAGAGGAATGCCTCCCGCACACGTTCCAACTTGATGAGGAGAAAGTTCTACTCACTCACGAGAAGGTTTTGTGCTGACCAGAAAACAAGAAACTCTTTGAGAGATCTCGGGCTCACAGAGATGGCTTCAGCCTCATGTAATGAGACATTATAGAAGGAACATTCTTGTGCACGTGCATTTCTTTCTCTCTCGGGATAGTGCCGTATATGACATCATTTTCTGTGTGCACCTCTGCCCACGTCTTCTCCGTGGCTCCGTACAGACTGATGTAATAAATACATTATTTATAAAAGACGGACGGCTTTAAGGAGAGGCGTGTCTATCTAAGGAACTCATTTTAAACCCTCTGGAAACACTTCACAATAGTTCAAACATAATAAACGGATGACGCAGACTGAATCTCTACTTTTCTATTAGAAAGTAAACATGTCATTGAAACTGTGTCATGTGTGTTTGTGTTGTCTTGTTTTTTTTTCATCAGCTGCTAATCCTCAAATTCCTGCGTGTGTGTGTGTGTGTGTGTTAAGTTTGTTTTCTGTGTGTTTGCAGCCGTGTGTATTCGCGGTTGTGTGTTTGTTGATGGTGTTTGAGGAGGAGGCGTCGCCGCTAGAAGCATCCGTCTGCTGACTGAAACATCCTGGAATCTGAGAGGTCAGCCGGTCCACATGTCTCAACCAATCAGACAAATCTGTGAGGGCCACGCCTCAATCCAGACTTTAAACCCTGTTCAGTCTGAACCGGGCTCTCATGTTGCTGAAACTGTTATTTAATCAGCTGATATTGAGATTGTGGCAAGCTATAAATATCTGGGGGTTGTACCTGATGACAAACCTCTAAGAAGGTTGAGCAAAGACTTTTCTTTTGAAGGAAAATTAAATCTCTTAATGTTTCTTCTGAGAGGACGACTCTCTTTGATAACATTTTGATTAAAACCTGTTTTAAATGTTTTTATTGCTGCATGGTTTGAAAGCCTGAGCTCGACCAATGAGAACAGACTTGTAAAAACAAGCAGCAGAATCTCAGGGAGGTGTCAGGCTCGGCTTCACTGGTCTGCTCAAATCACCCACTTCACAGTGAGTTTAAACTTTGACCCTCAAGTCGTCATTTTAGAGCTCCTGTGAGAGGCAGTTTTCAGGAGTTTTATGCGAGTGTGAAAAACACTTCTGTACTCACCACCTGATGTCTCTGAGTCATCTTAAAGAAATTTGTCTGGTCCTCGCTGCCCAGAAACCTGCAGACAGAACACAGGTGAGAACAGTTGCTACAATGAGCTATCAGGTCTTGTAGGTTGGCGGGGGGGGGATTATTATATTTAAGATGTTTTAACCAGGAGAACCTCAATGAGATGAACAATCTCAGAGTGTCCTGACCGAGACAGGCAGCAGCACAATAAACAGATTACAGACACCAAATGGAGCAAATACAATTAAATCATTAAATCAGAACAGGAGGTGTATCGATTGGTGTCACCTCTCCAGCTTGTTGGTCCTGAACTGACAGGTGTAGTAGTCAGGTGGGGGGTTGGGAACGTCCTGAGAAAGAGGACTACGTAGGGACAGCCGGGACAAAACCTGCTCAGACCAGTTCACGATTGGAGCTGTGACCACCTGAAGGACACAATGAGGTTACAATGAGGACACTGTGAGGATACAATGAGGACACAGTGAGGTTACAATGAGGATACTGTGAGGTTACAATGAGGACACAATAAGGTCACAATGAGGACACAATGAGGTCACAACGAGGACACAATGAGGTCACAATGAGGACACTGTGAGGTTACAATGAGGACACAATAAGGTTACAATGAGGACACAATGAGGTCACAACAAGGACACAATGAGGTCACAATGAGGACACTGTGAGGTCACAATGAGGACACACCGAGGTTACAATGAGGACACAATGAGGTTACAATGAGGACACAATGAGGTTACAATGAGGACATTGTGAGGTTACAATGAGGACACAATGAGGTTACCATGAGGACACTGTGACGACAAACTGTGAAGATGCACAGTAAAGAACACATAGGACACCGTAAGGCTACATGGAGGACACATTTTGAAGATAAAACGAAGACTCACTGTGAAGAAACACTGAGGACACTTTTCAGCAATAAACTGCAGACACACTTTGAGGACAAACTAATGATGAGGTCAGACTACATGTTATTAGAACGATTATAGCCCGATCCAGCAGACGGAGGGGTTTGGAACCGATCTGCATGTTGTGGGACATAGTGAACGACAATCAAGGCCACATCTGGAAAGTCTCACGTCCTCCTGGCCAAAAAAGTCTAGCATGTTTGATTTATTTTCACCAAGGAGAGAACAGAACGCTCTGCGCACGCCAAAGTCTGGAGCTTAAAAAAATAAATAGCGAAGGAAGCTAAAGATGAAACATGAAGATGGTGCTGCGAGATGAAACTATGAAACAAAGGAAAAGAGGGCACAAAATGAACACACTGTTATCTCTTTGTCTGACACAGTGACCATTGTAACAGATAAAAAGATTGTGTAGTCCGACCTTGGCACCAGGATGTCCTACCTTTTTGGACACTTTGAGAAAAATGTAGGACTCATAAAGGACACATTAAGAAGACATACAAAGGACCCACAGAGGACGAAATGACAAAGTGAGGACATAGTAAGGTTGCGATGTGACAATGGTGGACACATTAAAGCCATATTTTTGGCACACTATGAAGACAAACTATGGACGCTCTGGGAGGACACTCTGAGGAGAATCTGTAGGGACACTATGAGGACACACTAAGGGGAACACTCACTGAGGACACATACTGAGGACCAAGTGAGGACACACTGGCTAGAATAGACACAAAACGGACAATCCTTGAAGACACAGGAACACACTTCAGACGTACTTATGTTAATTTAAGGACACACTGGGAGGAAACAGTGAGGACACATAGAGGACAACCTGTGCTAGTTTAACTCTTTGTTTGAACCATGAAAAGATGTTGAGCTAAATCTAGAGAAAATGTAATAGAATGAAAGGATGAGACTGTTTCCTCTGAGCGACAGGAGTCGGAGGAGGAGGTTCACCTGCAGAGGTACTCTCAGAATGATCTCCTCTGCGTAGTAACACAGGACACTCCAAGGAGCACTGAGGAGGACAAAACAGATCCTTGTCTTCGTTTGAAGGACCTCCCTCTGTAAAGATGCAGAGAAACAAGTTAAAATTTTGAAAATTGGTTAGTAAATTTGTTTATGGCTCATGTTAGTTGTTTAGGTGTTCCACAAGGTTCAGTTCTGGGTCCCCTCCTCTTCTGTTTTTAAACTATACTGTAGTGAAAGAGAAGAACACCGGGATTGCTGGTCTACCAGTGTCTTGAGTGCTTATTCTGTTGTAGTTAAGGGCTGTTCTGCTGCATGTTGACTGCTTTGACTCCTTTTACTTTAAATCAGTGGTTCTCAAGTGGTGCGTCTGGTTTCCATCGGGTCCTGAATTTCTACCACTGCCTAGAAAACAAAGTTTATTTCAAAAGTCTGTGAAGTACTTTTTAAACATGTTTGTTTTGTTATCAGTTTTGGGCCATCTGAGGTTCAAACTGTAACGTTGTTCATTCAATAAATCTGATTGGTTGAAAAATATCAGAAGATTTGTGGTGGGTCCTGAGGCTAGACCAGTTGAGAATCACTTCTTTAGATGCAGTCTGATGATTTCAGACTGTATATTAATACACCTGTAATGTCTCGTGTTATTTCTGTTTTCTCAGATTCATTATGTGATATATCCATGAGCAATGATGTCCCGTGACAGATGATTTTAACTGCAGTATAAAAGAATTGATCAGTTTTAAGCCGTCACTGTTCAAACACACTCACTCTTATGTGTTCAGACATCTCAGAGTTCAGGTGTGTTTGTTTTACTCACCTGCTCCAGCAGCAGCCCAGAGTGTTTCAGTTTGTTCAGAAACTTTTCCCTCCATTTCCTTCGGTCCTGACTAACACCTGAAATCTCCTCATCCTGTAAGCACATAGGCTCCTCCCACACCAACACAAAATCTGATGAAGAGGAGAAAAGCATTCAAACAAGAACACAAATGATGTCATCACTGCTTACACTTGGAAAAATAAAGCAAAAGAAGAGGTGCAAAAGAGCGCAGTTCCTCCAGTGTCCACTAGAGTCTGTCTCCTGCAGTGAGTCAGTCCCCATATAGCCCCATGTTAAAATGTCTAACTTTACAGCTGCAGTTCCTCCAGTGTCCACTAGAGTCTGTCTCCTGCAGTGAGTCAGTCCTCATAGAGCCCCATGTTAAAATGTTCAACTTTACAGCTGCAGTTCCTCCAGTGTCCACTAGAGTCTGTCTCCTGCAGTGAGTCAGTCCTCATAGAGCTCCATGTTAAAATGTCTGACTTTACAGCTGCAGTTCCTCCAGTGTCCACTAGAGTCTGTCTCCTGCAGTGAGTCAGTCCTCATAGAGCTCCATGTTAAAATGTCCAACTTTACAGCAGAAATAAACATGTTTACAGTCTGGTACAAAATCAGTTTGGGTCTCTAGAGCTCATTTCTGTTTTTGACTGTACATATTGAATGTTTATTTTATGTTTGCATCATCTCTCTCTGTTTTAATCAGGGACCCAGATCTCTGCTTAACAGACGTACACAAAGATTACTAAGACATCGATTATCCAGAAGGTGAATAAGGCACCACCAGGCTAAACATCCTCCTAGCTGGAGTCTGTCTGAATGTAATCGATTGCATCTTCAATTACTCATATTTCTTAATCTTATTATTCTGCTTAATTATGTTCTCCTGTTGTGATTGATGTAGATGATGTCTGAAAACAGTAAGGAAGTTGGAAAAGATTCAAATGTTTAAAAGCTGGTTCGACTTCATCCACTGACTGATTTCAGTTCATGTAATTCTTAATTAAATACATTTTTCAGAATGATAATATGTGAGTTTCGGCTCAAGTTAACAGGAACAGTAAGCTGCTGTCTTATTGATGTGTCACACAAATAAGTTTGTTCCCAGCTGGACCTCTCAGCTAATATTGACTCAACAAAATTTGTTTAACTCACCGACTTGACTCGACCCGTCACTCAACACATTCCTGTCCTGGGGCTTGGCAGGTGCATCCTGGGAAATAAAAGCAGTCCTAATCTTAGAAAACAATCTATTGAAATAAAACACAACTTTGCATTAAAGAATATAAAATCTTCTCATTGTTCAAAACAAAAATCGACGTTTACAGAATCAAGAGATGGACAGAATCCTCTGCAGGTTCTTTAAATAAAACATTTTTACCTCAGAAAATCAGAAAGGTAGGGATGCAACATTTAGAACCACCAAATGAATGTTCAACACAGTTCAATTAAACGGATCCCAAAGACGTATTGAAATGATGGAGATCACAGACAAACATATTCAATATGAACAGTTTTCACTGATTTCAAAGACCAGGACAAAAGGTGGGTCTTAAGTTGGGCTTAATGTGATGAGTTTGCACATCTGATGAGGGGACGCAGACGCTTCTTCAAACGGGAGGCTGCAACTTTAAAGGAGCAGTCAACCCTGAGTTTGTGCTGAGCCCGAGGGACGACCAAAGAACAACAGATGTTGCACACAAACTTTACACATGTAGAAAAACACATGGGCTGCAGAACCAGTAGGACTGGAAGGTCCCAGACCCCAACCCGGAGGTCGGAGTCGTTCCCAAGGGTAGGACACAAGAAGACAAAAGTGTTATTCTTATTTTCATCTTTTTTGTCGTCCTTAAGAAAAAAAACGAGCCATAGATTTGTATCTATGGGTAGGAACAGTAACATTCTTGATGAATGACGTGGTTATTTTTTCCCCACTTCTTCATTATTGCTTATCGTCCGTAGAGCACTGTACGGGTGTTTGAGTTTTCTGTTAACAAGCTCAGATTGGACGCTTCCTTCTGTTCCATGTCTCCACTGTTCTTAACGAGACTGAAGACAAACACAGGAGGACGAGAGGACAAACAGAACAATCACCAATTGTTCTTTGACGATTTTTACTGCTCCATCACTCAGTCAGAGTTCAACATGAGAGGAGCCGCTCTGTCTAGTTGGATAACACACTTCCTGTTTCCTGCTGCAGCCACACTAAAACAAACAGTTTCACTTAAAGAAAAAAACCTGCTCAAAGTCTGAACTTTTCATCGGTGGGGCCTGTCTTCAAACTGAGTATTGATAAATACTGTTTTTGTGATTCTAGATTGACCAATATGGCGACCGCCGTCCAGAAAACAATGGGGGTTAGTAAACCTCATAGCACAAGGTATATTTGAAAATAAATGTTAATATATTATTTGTAATACTTCAGTATGTTAGCTCTGTAATTGAGTCTCTGGACTAGTTGACAGTAAACATGGTAACTCAATAAAGGGGTGAGATGTTCATTTAAGACTGCACCAGTTAAAACGTACTAAAGAAGAATAAAAATGAAAAGAAAGGCTCCAGGACGCTTCCCTGTGGAACGCCGCATGTTGACCACACGTGTAGCGGAACTTTCCAAAACCCTCATCTGTTTTCTGTCAAACTTTTCATCTTTCCAAACACACAAACTCACACTGACAGCAGTTTCCATGGCGATGCTGCCGTAGTTGTCTTCCTGCCTGGCATCCATAGTGATGAGCGTGGAGCTGTCCTCCATCGGCTCCCCTCTCCTCCTCATCATCCCTTCCCCTTTTCCTCTTCCTGCAGATCCTAAAACAATCAACACACAGATACACAATTATAAACTTATTTACACGCTAACACATAAACAGGAGTCCAGTATTTTAAACTGTGACGTATCTTTATATATCTAATGTATTTGTACTTTATGTATTCAACTAGAAGTACAAAAAGACTTCTACTCTTGATTCAATCTTTCCACTAAAAGTTGTGTTTCTCCCTGACAGGCTGAGGTTGTAATATTAAGTGTGTGACAACAGAGAGAGACCTTTTTGTTACAGAGGAAGATAATTTACTTTAATTGCATCACTCTCTACAAACTCACCACACTACATTCATAAAAACTGAGATTTGACCTCACAGAACAGAGGAGTACCTGATCCAGCGTCGCCTTGAGTAGTTTGTTATTTTGTGTAAATGTGTGTTACACCAATGTTATGCTTGATATGGACTAACTATTCAAAACTCCAGAGTCGCAAAGAAAACAAAACAAACTGAATGGTCGAGGCAGCAGGAGACCAGTCCTATTCAAACTTTTACATGCTCAGTTGATTGATTGATTGATTGATTGATCTTCTGAGTTTTTTATTCATGTATTATGTGTCCTCATGTTACAGCCTGTTGTATTTTATCTCAGAAATGTCTTAAATTGTCTTATGTTTAGGACACTGCACAGAAGAAGAACTCAGGTCCCTCATTTGAAAAAGAACCACCAAGTGGAAAAAACTGTATCAAACTGTACTGAAGTGAGAGGACTTTTCATTGGCTCAATAAGTTAAAAAAACAGAATCTTTTTGTTTTAAAGAAATGCACCATGGTTACGAACGTATCCTTCAATTATTAACTATTCAATATTTAAAAACATCCAGTTTGATTCGAGGCAATCTGCTGAAGAATGAGACTTATTGCTCAACAGACAGAATCATGTATCGGTTCCTCGTGCAGTCAGACTCACCTCTGTGTGCAGTCGATCCTGGGTTCAGGTGAGTCTCAGGTAAGTCTCCGGCTTGTGCAGCAGAGGAGCTGACTGTGTGTGTGTGTGTGTTCAGCTTCCAGCAGGGTGAGACTGATCATAAGCCACGCCCCCTGAGTTAACCCCTCCCCTCTTGCCTCCTGGGCCTAACAAATGGGGGGGACCTTTCAGCAGTTCAGTACTCAGAGCTGGTGAAAGTAGTGATACTGCAGAATAACTCCACTTCAAGTGAAGAATCTGCATTAAATGTTAAACTTCTGTAAATATAAGGAACCAGAAGTAGAAGCAAGAAAATACATTTTCAACATCGATGCATTAACTTCAACCCGTCAGAGCTGCTTATGGTGGAGCTCATTTCATTTATTTAATCTGTAATCCTTCAACACTGATTTAAAGTGACGTATATTTAATTTTCAATCATCTGTAAAAACTTTGACCAACATCTGCCGTAAGGTACCAACTTGAAGAACCAATCACGCCTCCCTGTCTCCCTGAGGAGGTCATACTGTGAGTTTGTCGTTGCCCGTTGAGTTGTAAAGTGATTAGTCTTGTTTTCTTTTTACATTTATTATGATCGGGTTTAGTGTTTACTTACCGCTGAACGACGTAGTTTCTACACAATGCAAGAGATGAGCTGAGGTCCACTTCTGGAGGGACGGCGCTTGTGCATGTAAGTGAGGGGGCGTGGCTTTAGAGGGAGCACAGAGGGAATGCTACTTTTAAAATCATGCTAGTTTTAGAAAATTACCAACCCTGCCTTTAACTGTTACCAAACAGTCTACACGTTCTATTTCTATGTTGAAAAAGAAAATCTGATCTTTTTCTTCAGTGAAAGTAGAAATCGAAGACAGTATCGATACTTTATAAGAAATAAAAGATCATGAGAGTGTGAGAAACTGAGCCTGTTGGACTGTAACAGCGGAACATTTTAAGTCATTTTTTAAGTAAATCATAAAAAAGTCTTCAAGAAAAGTTGTGATCAGAGCCAAATGATGAGACTTTATTATTTTTATTGTTTATTATATTTCCTTCATGTTCTCAGACAACTAAATAAATTTCAATAAATCTTTCCATCACATCTCTGACAGCAGCTGTGTGTAACGCAGCTCTCTGATTGGACGAGCAAAGCGGCGACGCCCCAATCATGACACAGACAGAGTTTACAACAAGCTGAGTTTTTTTCTACATCAGATCTACGGTCTTCTACTGAACACACGGACTAAAACACACAGCTGGGACCCCCACACACACACACACACACACACACACACACACACACACACACACACACACACACACACACACACACACACACACACACACACACACACACACACACACACACACACACACACACACACACACACACACACACACACACACACACACACACACACACACACACACACACACACACGTCTTTGGCAGGAAGCAGCTTCTTCTGCTGAACAATAAACGACACCGGAGCTGCATGGAGTGGATGGTGATGTCATCAGAACAGTGATGTCATCAGGAGGCAAAGCACGCACGCACACGCACACAGTCTGACGTCATACAGTGTGTAGTGTCTTAACATGAATATCACTTTGTGTTTCAGTCCAGGTGAGCCAACAGCTCCTCCTGCTGTCAGAGGCAGGTACCTGCACTGAACAGCAACACTAAGGGATTGTGGGAAATGTAGTTGAGGTAACGTTTCTTTGAAATAAACTCATGTTAGTATCGTAAAAACTAAAGACGATTATCTTTAACTCCCTAACCTATTTCATATTTTCTCCATGTTAGATCTTAACTTTATATTTCATGTTTTACTCATTTCTCTGACAAAAACAATTTGTTTTGTTCTTTAAATTCTTGCTGTTTCTCCTCTCGATGCTCAGACCAGAGTCGAGTGTTGTTCAGGGTCTATTTTTTTTAAATTTCATTAAAAGTTGTTTTGGTCAGAGACTAAAAATAAATAAATAACGTATTCAAGACGCGTCATTTCAATCCTTCTGAACGCCACAGGCTGGTTTTTGCCCCTGAACGCCCCTCATTCATTAAAGTCTACCCTTGGTCTCAATATGATGTCATTCCTAGAAGCCCCACGCTTCTTTACAGTCCCTGAACGTCTCACAGCTCTCATCGTGGAGCTGCCTCAGCGATGGAAGCTTTTTCAAGTTGTTGAGATTTGAAAGGCCCGCGAGAATAATCTGACTTTTTGACTCGTTTTTGACGTCTGACTGTCGGGAGATGATTCTACTGTTAAGGCGTCCATTTGAGAATTTAAGGCAATATTCCAAAGTGAGTCGTATAAAGAAATCTAATTTTTTAAGGCGCTTGTTATCAGTTCACTTTGATTAAATAACACTGAGCTCTGTTTGTATGGATGTTGTGGTTACTCATGCAGACGACTCTTTAAGGCTAAACCCCTTAAACGGTACCTTAAAATGTCGGGTACACTTCTTGGATTAAGGTATTTCTAATGGCATTCTAGTTGATATTACACACAGATTAATGGGATGTACTATAAAAGGTATTTCGGTGGACTTCGACAAAAGACGTTTTTTAAATTGACCTTATGAGTTCAAAGTTAACGGATTGTTTAATGTTATTTTGTACATGACACATTCAGTGCCCCAAACCAATCAGAACCCGTTTCATGAAGCCTTTCATGATCTAACATCTGTTCCTTAATTGAAACATTATGTCCCTCATAAGGTCGGTATTAATTAAAATATTTTTTTACCTTAAAATGTAAAGAACTGAACCGTTATTTCAGATCGAATGAAGGTACAGATGTATGACCATTAAACGTTCTAATATTTGAACGGGTTAAAAGTTGATGTTATTTACAGGTTAAACGGATTCTTCTGTAAATTATGGAAACCATTTAAGGAGAAAACTGACCAGATAACTTGAAAGACATTACAAAAATCTGAAATCTATTGTAATGAATTGATGAATTTGTATTGAACGTAAAAATTCCCCCTTTAAGGCCCTTCACTGAAAACTGAGCGATTCCTATGAAAACGTCCGTGACTGTGGATGTAATAGTTCAACTCTGTATGAGGTCATCACAGTGATGTCATCAGGGAGAGAGAGAGAGAAATAGCTCATTCATTCAACAGGCACACACACACACACACACACACACACACACACCCTTCAAACAAAGCCCATTGATAATAATATTTATAATAACTATAATAACAGTGATAAAGCAGAAATCAGCAACATAGTCCCCGAGTGGCTTCATCACAATCTTCATCATCATCACCATCATGCGTCCTCCTGGTCTCTGTGTGAAGTCCACTGACTCGGTCTACTTTCCAGACGGGACATGACGTCGGTCTGATCGTCTCTAATTAACAGATTTATATTAACTGTATGAAACTGAAAAGTTCACCTGAACACCTGATCACCTCCCAATAACCTCCTGACAACATCTGTCTCTATTTCTGATAACTAACAGACCTGGCTCCTCGAGTTAAGACACTGACCAGCCGCTTAATTAAGAAACGCCGCCGTGGAAAAAACAATCTGAGCTGTTAACAAACACATTTTTTTTTTGAAGAAGAAGAATCTCGAACACCTTTCCTGGCTAACGTTAACGGACCAACCTAAACTAACTCTGACTATGTCCTCTTCAGTCCGTCTACCAGACCTCGCAGCGCCTCCCCGTGTTCATCGGTGTCCCTGTGGGACAGTTGAAGTGGCGGCTGAAGTCTGGAGAGTTTGCGAGCGTGCCGATGACTCTGTATCTGGGGGGGCTGTGGGGGTCGGTCACCAGGCCCTCATGAGCGCTCTCTGGAGTGCGAACTGAACACCACACCTAAAAAAAACAAAAAGACAGGAGAGGTCTCACAGCTGCTGTTAAAACAGAAGAAACCTCCAGACCTCACACAAATCACAGTATCATCTGCATATTGTCGGAATATTTGGGACCCTATTTAATTGGGAGGCTAACTTAGCATTTACTTTTAGGTAGCATTGTCTCACCTGCGCAAATCCCACGAAGAAGAGCTGATCATTGGTCAGGTTAACGGCAGGAAGCCTCTTCTCCTCTCCGCTCTTCTGGACCCATGACCGATAGGCCTGAAGAACACAGTTTTGTAAGAGATGCCTCAGTGAGGATTTTAGGTGTTTAAATTAGAGTAACTGTTGTCCCACTAATGTCCTTCTTCTCCAAGCAAAAGATGTCACTGTCGCAGGCGATATCTGTTGTTGGAGGAGTTCCATCTTTTGTCGTTTCAGAGTGTTTTAGTGTTTTGAAGGTATAAGTGATGATTCTTTAAAGGCTTTATACACACTTAAATATAATATAAATCAAGTCTATCCTCTGAAAATAACTCTGAGTCATGACTGTCTACAATGGGTGTAACACCCGAGTCCCACTGTCTGTGATGTTTTCAGAGTCCTATCTTCACTTTGTTTACGTCGCCGGGACGGCCGGCTGACTCCTCCCCTCGTGTATAAAAGTTGTTTAATTGAGGGACTAGAGAAAAGAAGAATAACATACTGTACTCACTGCTTAACTGTGTTTCTAGATCACGCTCATTTCAGGTAAATTTACATGCAGTGTGAAGATACCAGCATAATAAAGATCGCTAGCATTAGCATGCTAACACAACAATGCAGCGCGAGTTGTTTTGGTTTCATGCTGGTGCTCAAGGGCGACATCTGCTGGATCAAAAAAAAAAAATCGCATATAGAGCCTTTAATGGTCTCTAAACACATTATATACGGTGCTGTAAACATGTGAAGAGACTATGTTTGAATGAATCATGTATTCAGACTGTTAGAAAGTTTTTCATCACGTTCAGGTTCAGATTTTTGGGGGGGCAGGGCCAAATGGGGGGCTCGAACTGGGATTCCTGAGCAAAATCCTTAACTCTGCTCTGTTTCAAATACGCTGCGAGTCTTTTTTCAACCGAGCACGCTGCAGGCATGCGTCAAGCTGGACAGAATATGACGACTCAGGCAGGAAGTCAGACAAAGAAACGCACAGAGCATCTGGTCCATTTCAAAATAAAACACAACATACAGACTCCTGATATTATGTTCCATCACTTTATCAATGTCAAAACAGAATGAACAACAAATTATCCTCAGAGAGACAAAGCTACATGTTGTTAGCACGTTGTTAGCACGTTGTTCTGCGGCGCTGACGAACCGAGGCGTGCGCGGAATACGTGGAAATTGGAGGTAAGATGGCACAGTTCAGTTCAACATGTGTAGGATGTGTGTACATGTTCTAACAGTATTAATATAATTCATTTATTTATGTTTATACTCACATGGTACGCTGCCTTTAGGCCGCCGTTGTCTGCGATGTTTTCTCCGAGCGTCTGCTTTCCATTGACGTGTTCTCCGTTGACCGTGTAGTGACTGTACTGATCCACCATGCACTCTGTCCTCTGACGAAACGCCTCCACCGACGAGTTCTGCCACCACGGCCTCAAGTTACCTTCTTTATCGTACTCACGACCTGACAGCGAGACAAGAGGAAAACTTATCGAAGACTCGGATCATTTCTAATCATATTTCAAATAGAGCTAATATTATAAGATACAAAGAGATTTACAGAAAGCGACTCAGCAGTTCAGGATTCACACCTGAGACATTTTTCAGGACAAATTTAAATTAAGAACGTTGTGTTGCATTTCAACGCGATGCAGAATGAATGATGAACTACTTATATTGACTTCCAACTCAAAAACAACGTGACATACTGCTGTCAATAAATGGATTCTCCTTCCCAAGTTCTTCACTTCATATTAGAAATGCTGTAAACAAACAGCAAGAACGTTTCATACACATCTTCTGATCTGATTCAAAGACCATCAGGATAAAATGATGCGATTGGGTGGATGGACTCTGTCACTTCACGAGCGTGCACTGAACACACCACCACCTGCATCCAGGCCAAAGAAACGCCACAGATCCAGACTCACCCTGATCGTCGAAGGCGTGTGTGAGCTCGTGACCCATCACCACACCGATCCCCCCAAAGTTCAACGCCCTGAAAACAAACACACATCATTAGTGTAAAGATAAAAATATTAGTTGGAAGAGGTTTATTTTAAACATATGAATGGTCAGACTGAAGTCCTGCCAGCGCCCCCTAGAGGCTGCAGAGTTCACCACAACAAACACATGCTAAAGACACACGCACGCACACACACACACACACACACACACGCACACACACACACACACACACAGAGATGAAGAGGTACAGACTTGGGGTGGTCGCGGGCGTAGAACGGAGCTTGTAGGATCCCTGCAGGAAAGACGATGCCGTTCTTAGTGGGCATGTAGTAAGCATTAACTGTGGGAGGAGTCATACTCCACCTGGAGGAGGAGAGGAGGAACACAAGGAGAGAAGGAGACATGGAGAGGAGAGGAGAGGAGACATGTTTTAGGATTAATGGTCGTAAATCATTTTAAATTGTTGTGTGATATTTATAACTCAGAGTGCCATCGTATTGTTGTCGTCACATCAGTATAGTTACGATAAAGCTTGAATTCATATTCCTGTATAAGAAGTGTTGGAGACCTGTTAGTCACAAGTAGCCCCACCCCTAACTCCTCCCCCTCTTTCTGGTCTCTGTGACTCTAAATGGGACCATGATCCAATAAATGAACATCATGCTGTGTTGAAGACTTGAAACTACTCGTTAGGAAGATGTTTACTGAGGGACTCATTCTGCTGACAAGATGGAAATGGTAATGGTTCTTACTGGTCTTTGTTGGGAGTCTTTCTCAGCTGGTCGGCCATCACTCGGGCTGAGAAGTTGTAGAAGTTCAACATGTTTTGGAAAAAGCTGTCGTCGGACACTTCATACTGAAACACAGAACAGAGCTGTTAGAACCATCCCGGCGTTCACCAGCAGGGGGCAGCAGAGCCCTTGTCAACCATCAGCCTCCCTGTTCCACCGGTCTGATTGACAGCTGTCACTCACCCCATCATAAACGTCGTCCAGCTCTTTAGTGTCCAGGATGAATTCTGGGAAGCCGATCATATCGTAGATGGCGTCGGCCTATCAGGAGACAGAGCGGAGAGAGTTGGACAGCTGATTATCTTTAAAGGGGTTTCACATGCGTTTCAACAGGGGCTCTTTTTGTTTTTCATGTTGTGTGGTCTAAATGAGCAAAAGGTAAAGTTCTGAATGCACTGTAACGTCTGCGAACCACAAACAGCCGAGACTTTTATATCAAAATCAAAAAACAGCCCTCTGACTGAACCTTGTCTTTAGCCGCCTTTTTCGTGTGGTCGTCCATCCAGCTGAGTCGATCCAGAGATTCTTTAAACGCTGAGCGGATCTCGTTAATCATCCCCTCTGCCTGAAGAGAGAGAGACAGAGAGAGAGAGACAGAGAGAGAGAGAGGTGATGAAGCAGACCGGACCTGTATGTATTGGAACCAGCAGCATCAGTTCTGTGACTCACGATCTCTTTGCTGTGTTTGTCGAAGGTCGCTTTGACAAAGAGCGCTCCCAGAGCGAAGCCCAGAGTGTCGTCAGTGTTCCCGATGCAGGTCTGCCAGCGGGGGGTGCAGGACTGCAACACACCAGAACCAGTTACAACCAACTACAGCCAGCGTCACACACAGGGGACCAGTTAGAGCCAAGCAGGAAGAGACCCAGTTAGAACCAGTTTAATAGATGACACCAGGAAGTCACATTGGGTCCCATAACCAGTGTGGACCAAGGGGTAACCTTTAAACTGGTCACAGCAGAGCCAGTTAGAGGAATTCCCAGACCAGTTTAATCCTTCTCTTGTTTCATGAACCTTTTAGTATCTTTTTTTTTTATTTAAGATTTATTTTGGGCTTTTCGTGCCTTGAATGCAGAGACAGGACAGTGGATAGAGTCAGAAACCAGAGAGAGAGAGAGAGGACAGTGGATAGAGTCTGAAACCAGAGAGAGAGAGGACAGTGGATAGAGTCAGAAACCAGAGAGAGAGAGAGAGGACAGTGGATAGAGTCAGAAACCAGAGAGAGAGAGAGAGGACAGTGGATAGAGTCTGAAACCAGAGAGAGAGAGGACAGTGGATAGAGTCTGAAACCAGAGAGAGAGAGGACAGTGGATAGAGTCAGAAACCAGAGAGAGAGAGGACAGTGGATAGAGTCTGAAACCAGAGAGAGAGAGGACAGTGGATAGAGTCTGAAACCAGAGAGAGAGAGGACAGTGGATAGAGTCAGAAACCAGAGAGAGAGAGGACAGTGGATAGAGTCAGAAACCAGAGAGAGAGAGGACAGTGGATAGAGTCTGAAACCAGAGAGAGAGAGAGGACAGTGGATAGAGTCAGAAACCAGGAGAGAGAGGACAGTGGATAGAGTCAGAAACCAGAGAGAGAGAGGACAGTGGATAGAGTCTGAAACCAGAGAGAGAGAGGACAGTGGATAGAGTCTGAAACCAGAGAGAGAGAGGACAGTGGATAGAGTCTGAAACCAGAGAGAGAGAGAGGACAGTGGATAGAGTCAGAAACCAGAGAGAGAGAGGACAGTGGATAGAGTCAGAAACCAGAGAGAGAGAGGACAGTGGATAGAGTCTGAAACCAGAGAGAGAGAGAGGACAGTGGATAGAGTCAGAAACCAGGGAGAGAGAGGACAGTGGATAGAGTCAGAAACCAGGAGAGAGAGGACAGTGGATAGAGTCAGAAACCAGAGAGAGAGAGAGGACAGTGGATAGAGTCAGAAACCAGAGAGAGAGAGGACAGTGGATAGAGTCAGAAACCAGGGAGAGAGAGGACAGTGGATAGAGTCAGAAACCAGGGAGAGAGAGGACAGTGGATAGAGTCAGAAACCAGAGAGAGAGAGAGGACAGTGGATAGAGTCAGAAACCAGAGAGAGAGAGGACAGTGGATAGAGTCAGAAACCAGAGAGAGAGAGGACAGTGGATAGAGTCAGAAACCAGAGGAGAGAGAGGACAGTGGATAGAGTCAGAAACCAGAGAGAGAGAGGACAGTGGATAGAGTCTGAAACCAGAGAGAGAGAGGACAGTGGATAGAGTCAGAAACCAGAGAGAGAGAGAGGACAGTGGATAGAGTCAGAAACCAGGAGAGAGAGGACAGTGGATAGAGTCTGAAACCAGAGAGAGAGAGAGGACAGTGGATAGAGTCAGAAACCAGAGAGAGAGAGAGAGGACAGTGGATAGAGTCAGAAACCAGAGAGAGAGAGGACAGTGGATAGAGTCTGAAACCAGAGAGAGAGAGAGGACAGTGGATAGAGTCAGAAACCAGAGAGAGAGAGAGGACAGTGGATAGAGTCAGAAACCAGAGAGAGAGAGAGGACAGTGGATAGAGTCAGAAACCAGAGAGAGAGGACAGTGGATAGAGTCTGAAACCAGAGAGAGAGAGAGGACAGTGGATAGAGTCAGAAACCAGAGAGAGAGAGGACAGTGGATAGAGTCTGAAACCAGAGAGAGAGAGGACAGTGGATAGAGTCAGAAACCAGAGAGAGAGAGAGGACAGTGGATAGAGTCTGAAACCAGAGAGAGAGAGAGGACAGTGGATAGAGTCTGAAACCAGAGAGAGAGAGAGGACAGTGGATAGAGTCTGAAACCAGAGAGAGAGAGGACAGTGGATAGAGTCTGAAACCAGGAGAGAGAGAGGACAGTGGATAGAGTCAGAAACCAGAGAGAGAGAGGACAGTGGATAGAGTCTGAAACCAGAGAGAGAGAGAGGACAGTGGATAGAGTCAGAAACCAGAGAGAGAGAGGACAGTGGATAGAGTCAGAAACCAGAGAGAGAGAGGACAGTGGATAGAGTCAGAAACCAGAGAGAGAGAGAGGACAGTGGATAGAGTCAGAAACCAGAGAGAGAGAGAGGACAGTGGATAGAGTCAGAAACCAGAGAGAGAGAGAGGACAGTGGATAGAGTCAGAAACCAGAGAGAGAGAGAGGACAGTGGATAGAGTCAGAAACCAGAGAGAGAGAGAGAGGACAGTGGATAGAGTCAGAAACCAGAGAGAGAGAGGACAGTGGATAGAGTCAGAAACCAGAGAGAGAGAGGACAGTGGATAGAGTCAGAAACCAGAGAGAGAGAGAGAGGACAGTGGATAGAGTCAGAAACCAGAGAGAGAGAGAGGACAGTGGATAGAGTCTGAAACCAGAGAGAGAGAGAGGACAGTGGATAGAGTCTGAAACCAGAGAGAGAGAGAGGACAGTGGATAGAGTCTGAAACCAGAGAGAGAGAGGACAGTGGATAGAGTCTGAAACCAGAGAGAGAGAGGACAGTGGATAGAGTCAGAAACCAGAGAGAGAGAGAGGACAGTGGATAGAGTCTGAAACCAGAGAGAGAGAGAGGACAGTGGATAGAGTCAGAAACCAGAGAGAGAGAGGACAGTGGATAGAGTCAGAAACCAGAGAGAGAGAGGACAGTGGATAGAGTCAGAAACCAGAGAGAGAGAGAGGACAGTGGATAGAGTCAGAAACCAGAGAGAGAGAGAGGACAGTGGATAGAGTCAGAAACCAGAGAGAGAGAGGACAGTGGATAGAGTCAGAAACCAGAGAGAGAGAGAGGACAGTGGATAGAGTCAGAAACCAGAGAGAGAGAGAGAGGACAGTGGATAGAGTCAGAAACCAGAGAGAGAGAGGACAGTGGATAGAGTCAGAAACCAGAGAGAGAGAGGACAGTGGATAGAGTCAGAAACCAGAGAGAGAGAGAGAGGACAGTGGATAGAGTCAGAAACCAGAGAGAGAGAGAGGACAGTGGATAGAGTCAGAAACCAGAGAGAGAGAGAGAGGACAGTGGATAGAGTCTGAAACCAGAGAGAGAGAGAGGACAGTGGATAGAGTCTGAAACCAGAGAGAGAGAGGACAGTGGATAGAGTCTGAAACCAGGAGAGAGAGAGAGGACAGTGGATAGAGTCAGAAACCAGGGAGAGAGAGGAATGACATGCAGAAAGAGGTCACGGGTGGAAGTGAACCTGGGCCCACCGCTCGAGACGAGAGTCTCAATACATGGGACGCGCCCTGACCATTATTATAGTTATTATTATTATTATTATTATTATTATTTTTAAACTGCTGTTAGAACCATTTTACAAAGTAGGAAGTAAGTTAGAAACATTGAGTAAAGTTCATAAACCCTGCCACCTCCATGTTAACAGATGTTACATAAACCCTGCCACCTCCATGCTAACAGATGTTACATAAACTCCGCCACCTCCATGCTAACAGATGTTACATAAACTCCGCCACCTCCATGCTAACAGATGTTACATAAACTCCGCCACCTCCATGCTAACAGATGTTACATAAACTCCGCCACCTCCATGCTAACAGATGTTACATAAACTCCGCCACCTCCATGCTAACAGATGTTCCATAAACCCCGCCTCCTCCATGTTAACAGATGTTACATAAACTCCGCCTCCTCCATGCTAACAGATGTAACATTGAGGAATCAGGATTACCATAGTACCATCAAAGTAGTGGTTTACCTGCTGTGGTGAGAGACAGAATGGATCAGAAACAGTAACAGGAAGTACTGTGAGAGTAGTCGGGGTAAATATGTAATGGAGGTTTTTGTACCTTCTTGGTCCCGTAGAGACTCTCCAGCAGTTTGTCCTGAGCATTCTCGAAACGCTGATCCAAACTGGCCACGCTCTTCTGAACCAACGTCCACATCATGTAGTTATTCAACAGACTGCAGACAGACAGACAGACAGGATGTAGAATTAGGGGGTGTGGCCTCTGTGAGTGGGAGCTGCTAGCTGTCTGCTAGGTGTCACCTCAGCTAATTCAGTCCCTGACCTTTAACCTCTGGGCTGTGTTTGTGCTGTTGGAGCCTTTTGGAGATTTGTTGATGTAAATATCAGACTAATCTGTCTCTCTCTGTGAGCTTTATTCAACTAACAGACCGTCCAACAAGTCTGAGCTCCACTTTCTACAACCAGTCACATCAGAACTTTAGGTTTGTAACCATTAGAGTCACAAGGGGGCGCCTCCTTTAGTTTTGTGAGAGAGAAAGTTGTTAGACAGCCTTCTCCTGGAGCTGGTGCAGACCTGTCATCAGGTGATCCAAGTGCTGTAGAATAAAAGTGAAGTGTGGACATCCCCTCTCTGACTGTCGAACATGCTGTACCGGGACTGCTAGACCACTTCTGCCCCGAGCCTCTCCACCTGCACCAGCCCACGTAGCAGCAGTGAGACAGACTGTGGGTCATGTGTTACCTGTGGTCGGTCTTGTTGATGAGGTCAGACACCTGCTGCAGGTATTCTCTGGCGTACAGGACGACGGATTCTGTGTCATTCAGCTCTAGAGGAGACAGAGAGGACGACAGGAAGTCCAACCACTCTACGGCCGGGGCCAGCGCCTGAAACACCAACGAAGAAGAGAGACATTACAAACAGACAGAGTTCATACATCACAGACCGTTACATGGCTATTAACTCCCTAAAAGTTCCACCTGATCCGCCCTCCTGCACTTTCATCGGCTCGTACGCGCTGCCTTTAGTTTCCCATCAGGACAGGTTTTAAACTTCCACAGGCCACAGATCTTAAATACAAAGATCCCACTTTGACTTTGTTTGCTGATCAAGTTGTTCTGTCCTTTTGTGGTTTTTATTTTATCGTGATCGTCTTTGTAAAAAAGTTTTTTCCTCAAGGGAATTTTACGCTGCAATACCGAGAGTGTCCACTGGAAAACATTTGGAAGCAAGCAAAGAGGCGACAGAGAATCCACACATTAAAGGCTTTCTATGTGATGTTTTGATCCAGCAGATGTCGCCCTTGAGCTCCAGCATGAAACCAAAACAACTGGCGCTGCATTGTTGTGTTAGCATGCTAATGCTAGCGATCTTTATTCTGCTGGTATCTTCACACTGCATGTAGATTTACCTGAAATGAGCGTGATCTAGAAACGCGGGCGCTGAGATGAAAAACTAATCCCAGCTGAGTCTGCTTCAAAAACGAAGAAATGGAGACTCTGCAGAGAGAACACCAACCGGAGTGTTTCTGATGTCTGAATGTGAAGAACTCAATGTCACCTGTAAGTGAGTCTTTGAGTTGGGCAAGACACTTAACCCCAAATTGCTCCCTCTGCTTCAGTGGTGGTGTATGAATGGCATTAGTTACTTCTGATGGATGATAGTAATGTCTATTGCATGTGATACAGTGAGATGAAAATACAGACTTCCCTGTATGGCTGTGACGTCTGCTAACTCAAACCGCTGCAGGGATCAGAGAAGCTGCCTCTGTTTCTGCACCATTGTCTTCTTTTCTGCTTGTACATTTACACCAGATGCATGATGGGAAATCATCTCAACAGCAATCTATCTGCAGTGTCGTCAATATTGACCCTTCACTAGAACCAGTCTGTGTCAGACTGTAGTATTCTCGTGCAGTTGAATAACCTTTATGATTGATGAGGACTCACGTCAGAGTGAACGCGCTGCCTCTGCACACCGCCCGCTCATTAAAGTGAAGTGAGGAAAGGAGAAAAAGGTGGAGACTGCAGGGACGTTTGACTGAAGTCTCAGATCTGCCATGTTTATATAATAACCTGTTATCTAACCTCGCTCTCTGCCACGGAGACGCAGGCACATAGCAACAGCTCTTGGCAACAGTTGCCATGGTGACCCCTCAAGCATCTGCATCCCTGAAGGACAGAGTGCCGCAGCAGAGACTGCACTCAACAACACAGGGGCTGCTAACACACAGTGAGGACGCAGCATGTTAAACTGCAGACACACGATCATTTAATGAACGGTTTAACATTCAGAGAACAAATCAAACCGTGTGCAGGGAAGAAGAAGAAGAAGAAGAAGAAGAAGAAGAAGAATCACATTTGTGTTTGTCCACATGTTTCTCTTTATGTCTGCTGATCAAAGCCCCGACAGAGAGTGAGGAAACATGGATACTAAAGTACTCTGCAGTCACGCTAACAGCTCAGGCTACCATTAGCATGATGCTAAAGTGTAACAGGTGAGACGTTACCTTAATCACTGTCTTAGTTTAGACTTTAAGTAGTAAACAAACCGCTGAGGCTGATGAGATTGACTGTAGTTCTGCAGCTGATCGTCCATCCTGTTTGAATGTGGACCTGATGATTGCTTTGAGTAGAAGGATTGTAAAGAAGTCTGAACGTGTCAGCTGATTTATTCCCTCAAGAAACGACTTTACGCTCTCACTCTGTAGTTTCACGTCTTCTTCAGCACCATGTTCATCTAGTCCGCTGAGGTCCACTTACAGTCACAGAGACCAAAAAGAGGGGGAGGGGCTACCCGTGATTGTAAAGTCACTAACACAGCAACCTGAAATTAAATTGTCTTATTTTAGAGTTCAGTTCTTTCTGATGAGTTAGCTGGATTAAAGGTTCAACATGTCGAATGTTTACACTTAAATATCTAAATTCATTCAAATGAACTAAACCTACGTTTTATATTTTTGTTGAGTGCTTATATTACCTCAAATATTACCAACAGTTTTCAAAGTCAGAGAGGCCCTTCAGTTTAGAGTTCTAACAAGATGTGTGTTCTTGTGGCGGCCACCATGACAGACACGACATGTTTATCGTTGCCGTGGAAACCCCGGATGTTACGTCATAGACTGCTGCATAATTAAAAAGTGAGCTGCTCCTGAAAGCTGCAGTACTGTTGCTGTATGAGCTGCTGTAATAAAAACTTCATGTAGATTATACTCTGATACATCAGCTCGTCTGTAAACATATTCTCTTCCTCAGGTCGGTTTCACGCGATCGTCATGACTACGGTCAACTCGGAGGTTGTTTTCATCATTTGAGTGGCCGAGAGAGAATCAATTCCATGATTTCCCGCCTGCCGCGACTTCATCTTTTGTTATTGTTTTGATTGAGAGCCCCCTGGTGGTTGAATCTACATACTGTGCCTTTAAAGCTGTTGTTTTGTTGGTCAGTATTGAGTATTCATTCAACATGTTCTGCACCTGTGAACATGAATGGACAGATTTTTCAACACGAGGCCTCTCTGCTCTTTCATGACCCGCTCTGACCTGCACCAGCTCTGCACTCCACCACCCAGCCTCTACCTGTCCGCTCCGACTGGGCGGGGTATAAGATATCATCCCAGGACTTCACAAAGTTCTACATGTAAATAAATCTGTGAGGAGTGATGAGGCCGAGGCATGGGCACAAAACACAAACTATGCAATGCAATATATAGTGTGAAAACAGCAGCAGATTAACACATCTAACCGGACTAGCATCAGCTGATAACTCATTTCTCTTCTCCAGCTCCTCCCTCTTAACTCATTATGTTCAATTCTAGCAGATAAAATCAAGTTTTGAATTGAAGAGTGGCCGATATGCCAAACTTGAGCCCTAAAAATGGTCTTCTACAAATCACTGGACATAACTGAACAGAAGCCCCCTGCTGACACGACCGCTTTGAGCCAATAAGGAAACTGTCAGAAAACACAGGCTCACCTGTAGCTCAGATATGGTGACCTTGTGATAGATCTTCTCCTCGTCCCGCCGCTGGTCCTGAGGAACGGTGATGTTGGCGAGCGCCGTCTCAAACTCCAGAATCTGATGCATCTGAAGCTGCGTGGAGCTCCTCTCCCCCCCCAGCAGCATCCCCAGCTCCACCATGTAGTCCAGGTACGCCACCAACACCTGGGATTCACATAAAGGGTTAAAAGGTGACACTGTGCAGCTACAGAGACTGAAGGGCTTCGAGCATGCTCACCTTCTCATTGGCTGTCTTGTTGAGGTAATAATCCCTGGATGGCAGGAAGAGCCCTGATTGGTCCACCTTGGCAGTGAGATCCACAGGTAAGTACATCAAGACAACAAGTTTCACAGATTCTAAAGTGGTTGTGGTCTAAAGTGTGGTTGTGGTCTAAAGTGTGGTTGTGGTCTAAAGTGTGGTTGTGGTTTAAAGTGTGGTTGTGGTCTAAAGTGTGGTTGTGGTATGAAGTGTGGTTGTAGTCTAAAGTTTGGTTGTGGTCTAAAGTTTGGTTGTGGTCTTAAGTGGGGTTGTGGTCTTAAGTGGGGTTGTGGTCTAATGTGTAGTTGAGGTTTACCTGGATGACATTGCTGTTGGAGTTTTTTGGATCAGCACTGACGGAGACGCTGAAGAAAGGCTGAGCTCTATACGGACCAGAAACCACCTTCAGGACGTCCATAAAGTTCTCCTTGTCCCAGGGTCCAGTCATGTTCCAACCCCCGATCTGTAATGAAAAACAGGTCCAGGTGTTCAAAGAGAATCAAACCTTTATATTGTACAGAGATATAGGGTAGAGTGTAGTGATGTTAGTGTCCGGCTGTTTGCAGATGATACTCTCTTATTCATTTGAAATGGTTTAAACTTTATATACACCGTGTTTGCTCATAATGATAACTATTAAAGTAGTTATGTTTCTTATTGTATTTGGTTGCTCTCTTATATAACTCAAGGTTAATGTTAAGGCAAACAGTTGTTCACAGTTAGGGGCGTGGCTGATTTGACTGACAGGTGGGCGCCTCAGCTTCAGCTCCTTCTATTGATGGAAAGTTAGGTTGAGTCAGCCTTTCCAACATGGCGGTCACCATGGTTAGGCTTCAAAGGCCAAAAGAGACCAGATGATCTCATTCTACCGCCACAGTAAATAAGATCAAGCTCACGTCCTGATTGAGTATTATTGTTTTATTTTTCGATACGCTCTTTTTATTGACACTGTCTTGTCTTATTTGTATTGAATGCATTGTGCTGTCAGCGAGGCTTGAAGTGACATTAACTCAGAAGAGACTCTTTGTTAGAGGTTATTGAACCATGTACTGCTGTTGTAGCCTGAGTGATGCTGTAACCATGGTTACGAGGGGCATACGTTGCTACCTTGGCAATGAGGTCTATGAGGGGCTGAGCTCCCAGCTCCTCGATCCTCTGCGTGTTGAGACAGGACAGGTAGTAGGACTGAGTCTTCCTCTCGGCTTCGCTGCTGCCGTTAAACGTCCCGTTCTCTACAAAACATCAAACAGTCAGGGTTCAATGATGAACGCCATCTGAACGCCGTCCTCACAAAAGATACTGTTCCACTGTCACAGTCATCCCTCAGTCTCTCTGTTCACCTGTCTTACCCAGCAGGTGTTTCAGCAGTGCCTGGTTTTGCTCCCAGATGCTGTTAAAGGTGGACCAGCGCGACCGTCCGTCGGGCAGCGGGTTTTTCCTCATCCAGCCTCCGCAGGCAAACTGGTAGAAGTCTTGGCACGGGTCGACGCTGCGGTCCATCGCCTCCACCATCTGACTCGCCACGGTGACACATGCCTCAGACAGGCACAGGCCACGCCCACTATCTGCATGGCATTATGGGATAGAATGAAAGGAGGGTTAACTGGAGGAGTCAGAAGTATGGAGCTGCTGAAGATGTGTTGTAAATGTTAAACTCGACTTTATTGTTTTTTTGTTTGGACCAAAGAACGAGTGGAAGACAAGAAAAGAAGGGGGATAAAAGGGAAAAGGGACACAGGGAAGGTAATAGGCACATACAAAAGCAAAAGGGAAGGAAATAAAGATGGAGGTAAAGAAGGATAGGCTGGGTCAGGAAAGGAAAGGGAAGCAATCGGGGTGATGAGGGGCGGAGGGAGTGAAAGGAGAGGCAGGGAAAAGGAAAAGAAGAATAAGCTAACGGAAGCTGAAAGGAGGTAGGGTGGATGTTGTTTTAAATAAAAGGAGGGCCCAAGGAAGAAGGAGAAAACAAAGGAAAGGAGTGGAGGACAGGAAGAGGCAAAGGGAGTTGGAAGTATGGGGAAGAAAGGAAAATACAGAGAGGTGAGTTGGCAAAAGTGAGAAATACAATCAAAGATGGATTCAGGTTGTTTCTGTGTTGTTACCTGAGCTGAGTCCGAGCCCCAGGACCAGAAGACAGGCCAGCAGAGCTAACAGAGCAGCCAGCAGCAGGACCGACAGAAGAACCTCAAGCTGCGTCCTCCTGCCAAAAATGTCCACACCTCCCTTCCTGAAACCCACCTTAGAGAGACACAGAGAGAGTAGAATCAAACATCTGGACGAGATCTCTGAAGATCGCAAATGCAGACTGTCTGAGAAATAAAGTTAGGGAGGGAGTTCAGAGGAGAGGAACTGCTCCTTCATATCAAAAGGACCACGAGATGGTCTGTGTATCCAAACAGGATCCTCCTGGGCACTTTCATTTGAATGTTTTCCAGATCGATCTAAATTGGAGAAGACCTGGGGTGGAGCCAGCGTCTGTTCATGAGATTACATTTCATGTTTGGCCTGGGAACGCCTTGGAATACCCGAAGAGTATGGTGCAGAGGTGAATGACATCCATACAGATGGATGATGGATGATGGATGGATGATGGATAGATGCTTGACGGATGGATGGATAGATGATGGATGGATGGACGGATGGATGGACAGATGGATGGATAGATGGATAGATGATGGATGGACGGATGGATGGACAGATGGATGGATAGATGGATAGATGATGGATGGATAGATAGATAGATGATGGATGGACGGATGGATGGATAGATGGATAGATGATAGATGATGGATGGATGATGGATAGATGATGGATGGATGATAGATGATGGACGGATGGATGATGGATAGATGAAGGACGGATGGATGGATAGATGATGGATAATGGATAGATGATGGATGGATAGATGATGGATGGATGGATAGATGATGGATGGATAGATGATGGACGGATGGATGGATAGATGATGGATGGATGGATAGATGATGGATAATGGATAGATGATGGATGGATAGATGATGGACGGATGGATGGACAGATGGATAGATGATGGATGGATAGATAGATAGATGATGGATGGATGATAGATGATGGACGGATGGATGGATGATGGATAATGGATAGATGATGGATGGATTGATAGATGATGGATAATGGATAGATGATGGACGGATGGATGGACAGATGGATGGATAGATGGATGGATAGATAGATAGATGATGGATGGATGGATGATGGACGGATGGATGGATGGATGGATAGATGATGGATAATGGATAGATGATGGACGGATGGATGGATAGATGGATAGATGATGGATGGATGATGGACGGATGGATGGATAGATGGATAGATGATGGATGGATGATGGATGGATGGATGATGGATGGACGGATGGATGGATAGATGATGGATGGATGGATGGATGGATAGATGATGGATGGATGATGGACGGATGGATGGATAGATGATGGATGGATGGATAGATGATGGATGGATGGACGGATGGATGGATAGATGATAGATAGACGATGGATGGATGGATAGATGATGGATAAATGATGGATGGCTGGATAGATGATGGATAAATGATGGATGGATGGATAGATGGATGGATGGATAGATGGATAGATGATGGATGGATGATGGATGGATAGATGATGGATGGATGGATAGATGGATAGATGATGGATGGATGGATGATGGATGGACGGATGGATGGACGGATAGATGATAGATAGACGATGGATGGATGGATGGATGGATAGGTGATGGATGGATGGACTGACATCCACATTGTATCTCTTGCACTTTATGTTTTTGTGAATTCAGTGTAATCTTGGTATCTCTCCTTATATTATTATTAGATGTTGATCCAGAGATCGTCCAAAGCTCCTGGTTTATCCCCGATATCTGCACAGGGGGTCCCCCCCAGTCCCCTCGCTCCGTCTCTACAGTGGACCTAAGAGAGCCTCCAAAGCAAGACACTCAGTCTGGGTTTAGTCAGGGATGTGAATGTATGGAAGTTACTAAATCTGCTGGAGGCAATGCTTGTTCAAAGAGCTCGATGAGGCCATTAAATTAAACTCCTGTCCTTGTCCCAGTATACAAGCACCGAGGGAGAATCCATTTATAGACACAAGTATGTCTCACTCCTCTACAGTAGGTGGCGATGAGCCCTTTCAGCTAGGTACTAATGGGTCCTCTTGACCTATTTTGTCACATACCAAACAATCATATACTCAGGGGGGATTCTAGAGTCTGTTGGGGCCCATTTAGGGGCTCCTCCAACCAGCCCTCATCACCATTATGTCCGCCAGTGCCCAGGCATAATTCTTCATTTTCCTTTGGTGACTTTGCAAACTTTGTTTTTCACAGAATTAATGCATGCAATGCTTAGTAGGTCAACTATAGTGAGTTCTGTCTGATAGGGCCCCTCTGGGAGGTTTCCTACTGTCATTGCAAAGTGACAGTAGGAGGGGAGGGGGGGGCTTCTGGCCTAGGGCCCCAAGTTGTTCTCAGCCATGCCTGGTGACAATCAGCGCCTCTGCATATACTTTAGTCTGTTTGACTCCCTCAGCTGACTCAACATGTCCACTGTGTCCTCGTCTGGTTTGCTCTCCACTCTCCATGTTTTGATACCTTCTTCTGGTTTTCATCTTCACATCAATACTATACGACTTCCAGGTCAAAGCCCGGCTCAGAACTCCTCCGCCAGTTTGGGTCTGATTCAGTTGTTTACATGCGAGAGTTAATCGACCCCCAACTTCATTATCCAGGAGTGTAAGTCTCACTTCAAAAAATTGAACTCAGAAAGATTTCAGTCAGATTTGAAAAGTCCAGTTTTGGTCACACTGAGACAAAAAAAATCCACTTTTTCTAACATGACGTAGATGTGCTGTAGATGAGAGTTATTGTTGTTTACCTCATGATGAGAGTGAACTCAGACTAAGATTTAGTTTCCAGAGTTGTGTGCACATCTCTGAGTAACGGTTTCAACATGTCTGAAGTGTCTGAGTGTTAGACTAAATGAATCTGTCTCTCTGGACTTTCTGGATGTTTCACCCCAAACAACATTCCTCCACAGAGCAGTCGTAGCACAGGAGTGATCTGCTCTGAAAGCCCACTTGCAGAGGGAGCCTTCATTAAAGCGGCAGTGAACCTCTCCTCTGCGCAGCTGACGTTTGTTGTCTGTCTCGCAGCGATCCAGACCCCCCGCGGCCGCTGCTGCTCCTCTCCTTTTGTGGCCTCCTTTTGTGTTTTCAATGAGGGCCCCCCTAGAGCCTGGCTCTGTGTTCTGAGTCTTTCTTTCTGAGTTCAGGACTTCACCTGGGACCCGTTAGCAAGGGAGATTTGAGGCGATTTCCTGAAGTCATGAGGAGTTATATTCATAAAACTTATTTTCTCTGCTGAGTCTCTGTCCTCTCAGACATCGCCTCCCTCTGTGGCTCTTTCTCTCTCTTATTTTCTCTGAACTGACGATGAGCTAAAATAGTGCAAAGGCAGATTATGCAACATTTTTCATATGCAAACATAAAGAGCTAACTCTAAAGACAGGAGAGTCTCTTTTTATACTTTATTAAGAATGTATTTTATTTAGATTTTTATTTTATTTTTCATGTGATCTTTTATCGAGAATAAAGCTGAATGCACGAGGAACAAACACCAAGTCCATCCTACCAGTACAGTGTGTGTGTGTGTGGTGTGTTCACTGACCTCCAATCTGTCAGGAGACGAGGCTGCCTCAGCCGGAGCGTCCGACACTTCCTCCTCCTCCAACGTAGCTCGCTTATAGCTGGACATCTGCACAAACACACACACAGATTTAATATTGTCCTCACTAATGTAGATAAATTACAAAAACTGTCAGGACAAATCAAATCTGCAGGAAGGAATCAGCACACACACACACACACACACACACACACACCACACACACACACACACACACACACACACACACACACACCACACACACACACACACACACACACACACACACACACACACACACACACACACCACACACACACACACACACACACACACACACACACACACACACACACACACACACACACACACACACACACACACACACCTCTCTGTTGTTTCTTCAGATATTATTCAGGGACTGTTTGAAGACAAACTGCTCCTCTGGGACGATCGAGCTCAGAAACCTGATATCAGCTTTTAATCCTGTGTGCGGCTCACACACTCCGAGCGCTGCACTCAAACCCTCCGAGCACCGACATGTTTGTATTTGAGATGATTAAGAGTCATATCCAGAACTCCACTGCTCGTCTTCTCACAGACTCCCTCA